AGTATTTAGGCTTCTAAAAGCGTCGGAAAGGCGTCTGCAGGAGCAGTAATGGGCCTTATACTCAGCATACTTTCATGCTATTGTTCTCTGAAAACTACTTTCCACGTGTTGGAAACATCCGCTCCAACTCACATGTTCAACCACACAGTGAATGGTTTACTGCACCGATGCCTTCAGCGCATGACACCAAACACAAGCTTTGTCAGTTTCTCTGCACATACTCACCTGTCTGTTTTCATCAACTTTATGAAAACACAAACACACCTGGAGACGGGCCGACAGCCACATTTCCACACTTCTCATCTCACACACCTGATACAGTAGCTCTATTAGCAGTCAGCACACAGCAAAGAGAGCAGTCATCCACCACTGACTCACAGCCCCAGTTTGACCGCTGAGTGAGGCTCTCGTGGGAAGGACTGACTTTGCTTTTCACACTCATGTGGCAGCATCAAACATATGAGAGAACAGATGGAGGGAATGACTGATGGCTGGAAAGATGAAGATGGTTGAATGGTGGGATGGTGAGAGAGAAGAAAACAAAATCACCCAGAAAAGCGAATAAAAGCCACTATCTGTGTGGTTAGGGCATTGTTCCTAGAAAAGTAGCCTACTGGCAAAACAATGTTTATAAAGCTTTTGTTTAGAGAATTTCATCAATGTGAAAAATTTACTAAACTGTACACATCCAAAAAAGTTTATATTAAACACAAAACTGGGACTGTGTGTGTGTGTGTGTGTGTGTGTGTGTGTGTGTGTGTGTGTGTGTGTGTGTGTGTGTGTGTGTGTGTGTGTGTGTGTGTGTGTGTAGGGGGGGTGTTCCATTAGGCTGTGTGCATGTTACTTTTGCAAGCGTTCTGGGAATCCTGTTGGAGAATATAGCATCATGGACCAAAATACCAGGACATTCAAAAGAAAAAAAAAAGTAATTCCAGCGTGCCAAACAAAAAAATAGACAAACTGAGTCGGCTGAGTCCAACTGACTGAAAAGCAGTGGTGTACAAACTACACACATTTTTTTCTTAAAGGGGAACACTAGTTTTTTTACATTGGGCCCTTGATTTTATGTTATTACATCATGTTCTTCTCACGCATATGAGTTTTGTATAATTTGGAGCTGTCCCGAAGATATTCGGTTTTGTTATATCCAAGTAATGTCTTCCAATGAGCAATGACTTGAAGGCACAAACTAAACTGTTCATACTTTATTCTGACAAAAAACTAATATGGGTGAGTAGAACATGATGTAATAACGTAAAATCAAGGGGCCAATGTAAAAAAAGGTGTTCCCCTTTAAGTAGAAGTATAGATACTGCCATATAAAAATACTCTGGTAAAAGTTGAAGTATCAACTTCAACTCTTTACTCAAGTAAAAGTGAAAAAGTATGTGCTCCAAAAACTACTCAAAGTCTAAAAGTATAAAGTAACTTTAAAAAAAAAACAGCCAGATGCCACTATATGAATTGAAAGCTCATATTTTTCGACTATTTCTAAAAATTCTTTGAGATAGGGCCAAGGATGAGGGAGGTCTTGTTGGTCTCCGTCTCCATCTCTCGATACGATCTCGCCTGTGTCCGACCTTTCAGACATTTCAACATCTTTTTCTGAATCCTACATTGTAGCATGTCATAGATAATTCACGTTTGCAGGTTGAAGGACACCTGCTTGCTTCTAATGATTTCCTTTAGCTAACCAATGAGTGTTTGCGTTATATGACTCATCCAATTACACTAGTTTTCACTAGATGTGGATGGCGCCAATGATCTGCATTGGATGGAGCACATGACGAGAAATAAATATTTATTAACATTAAACCGAAGCCAAGAGTAACAAGTAACATTTTTTTTAAAAATTGAAGGAATAGAAAGTACAGATACTTGTGTGAAAATGTAATGAGTAGAAGTCAGAAGTAGGAAGGAAAGTAAGTAATGAAGTATAGATACCTAAAAAGTGTACTTAAGTACAGTAATGAAGTATTTATACTTCGTACTTGATGCCTCTGCTGAAAACGAACTGTCATTCTCAGGCCTAAATCCATTTACATGAGGCTGAATTGGAGGAAAGAGAGCATAACAGATGGCAAACACATTTAGGCAATCGAGGGAAATTCTGTGATATTTTGCCACTGCTCCTAACTGCCTTCTTGAACAGATTGGATTCAAATACTGTGAATCCGAATGAAAATAAATACCTTTAATTTGTCATTTTAACGAAGAGATACAAGGTCCAACCCTAAATATTGTCAAAGATATCATGGCACAAATCATATTTACCTTCATGGGAGCCTTTCAGCTGCTGGAAACATGTTTTTATTGCCCTTAAATCATACAGATCTCCAGGCCAATAAAGCAGATTATCATAGGGACCAAACGGACCTCAGAGAGTAAAAACAAAGGCCCCAGCAGAATGAAACAGCCATAAAGAATATCACACGACAGCCAGATGAGGCTGCACCTCGGTGCCATCATCTCTGTTTTAGTGAAAGCTGAGACTCAGGTGGTGTTTGTGTGTGAACATGATTTAAGGCAGCATGAAACTGACAGCAGAGACAAAAACTGTGTGATTTATGGCTAAGTTATCATGAAAAACCTGCTGCTTTTATATTAACGTCTCCGAAGACGAATGTTTATTCTTTGAAGGAAGAGATAATGGGTTAAACACATGTAGCACAACATGCACTGTGGGCTGGATTCAGTTCAGTTCCATGGATGCTAATGAGTCTCATGGTGTGAAAAGCTTTAGCAAAAATATATGATGGATTAAAAAAAGAATTAAGTATCTGATTGATTAGTTATAGTTTTTAAGTACACTTCTATTATATGATTATTAATATACCAATTACCGTATATATTTTTTGTGGATCTACTCTATAAAATCTAAAACATTCCTCATGTCCACATATCTAGGAAATAACAGTATTTTATATATAAAAAACAGAGTATATTTTTGTTTAATAAATTTAAGAAAAAAAGTGATCTGAAAGGGGATAATTTTAAAAGTCAAAAAAATATGTTGGAGAGAATACATTTTCGAACTGAGGTTTCATATATATATATATATATATATATATATATATATATATATATATATATATATATATATATATATATATATATATATATATATATATATATATATATACGGTATATATGTATTTTTTTTTTTACTTTCAAATATAGTTTTTTTTTTCTGCAATCAGAGTGGAACCATTTTTTCTCAAAAATAGATTTATAAATGTTTGTTTATCTTTTATCTGAGACAAAATAGTCACAAAATAGTTTCTCTCAAAACTTTTGCTTATCAGTTTTTGCTGTCAGTGTAAAAATTTGTTCCCTATAATAAATTTATTATACTTTCAAAATTACTCATCCTTTTCAGATCATTTTTTTTATTGAATAAAAACAAAAATAACTCTATAAATAACAAAACAGTTATCTCTGTTCTAAGCATTTGACCGGTACATTGTAAAAAGAAAATGCTGCTGCAATTTAAATGAATTTCTTTAATAATTTGAAACAAGTTGAGCAGAATTTTCTCTTTAGGGATGTGCAAAAAATATCCTTAACCCAGGATTTGCCTGGAAGCTGAATTTTAGCTGTATTTGTGTGTTGAAAAACACATGAGCATCAATCCTGTACCGCTCCAGCTTAAATCATTGGAGACTGACAGAAATTTGGCGTGGCCAATCACGCCGCATTTATGGTTTTAGGTGGAACATAAAGCTGTGACAAAAGCAGAGCCTGCTAAAAGCCAACAGCCAAACTATAATAAACTTGGCAGCACAGATGCTGCTTTCACATCTGTTCTGTCAGAACACCCAACTTTATCTTTGTAAGAGGAACAACATTTGTTTGTTGCTGTGATTGGCTGAAACTTTCCCCAAACCTAACCCAATCAGCTAGAAAGGTTCTGCTGAAAGTCCATCCTTTCCCTGAATAGATTTGATAGGAGCAATCTCAAATCAATCATGTGTAGAACTTGTGAGTGCTACACTTTATCCATTTCGCTTGCTAAATAATGGAACCTGTTTTAATGAGATACCGTCTGTCCTAAAAGCTGACATATTTTTAAAAACGTACAGTTTAAAATCTCTTTTAAAAATCTAAAAAAACATTATTTCCTCTACTTTATAATCCTTTAAATCAGTTCTCTGAAAGTGCACTGCTGTTCAGCTGACTGGAATATGGACTCTATTCTTTTTTTCCCGCTCATAAAACAAACAATTATTATGTATATTGCCATTTGAAGAAGATAGAGAGTATTATGTGGAGGAAACATAAAAAAATGCCACTCAAAAAAAAAGTAAAAAAAAAAGGTTAATTGTTGTATTTAGGGAGATAAGTGTGTTAATTAGCCAATAGTTTTCTTCTATATCTTTGTTTATTATCAACATGTAAATTGCAAATCAGTAATAATTGTTGAACATGCTTAGGTCAGCAAAAGTCAAAGCTAGGTTATTTTATCAGCAGAAGGAATATTATTCATAATTAGGTGTAATGTTGTTTTTTTATGGTTTAAATAAAATAAATCAGATCATCTTTAGTTAGTCTTTTTTTAAACGTGTAAAATCATCCTGTTTGTACTAAAGTTAATCGTACAGTGAAAATCCAATGGAAAAGCAAAACAAATGAAAAATGTCCTGTGACCTTTTCTATAGCATCTATTTAAAGTGAGGAAAATGACTCCAGGAGTTTTGAGATTTTTTATGGATAGTTGTGTGTAGCCAATGCACTGTGTTTATGCAGTTCTATAGTTTAAGATCAGCTCTGCAACTTATCAGTGTGTTCAGAGCACACTGTGAGGTTAGGACCTTTGTGTTAGTCTGAGTTTTTTTTTCTTAGTACAAAGCGAGCAGAGTTCAGTAAATTAAAATGGGACGCTCCTTTAAAGTAAATCTACGAATTAAACTCTTATTACAACACACCAAGACAGTGGTGATAAAAATGTGCAACTCTATCACTATAGTGAATTCCATGTCAGCAGCAAAGGTTTGTCCTACCTTAACATAGTCGACTGCAGCATCCAGAGCAGCTACAGGATCCCTGGGAAAGACAGACAGAGAGATTGTCCTGTTTAGAGAGAACATCCTTAGCAGCCGGACCAAAAGAACCGTGTCCTGAGGTTTGGTTCCACCCTGCAGCTTCTACAGAAATGAAAACTACAGAGCTGGTTGATGTTGGCTTGTCTTCAGGTGGGTCTCTATGCGGTGCTGATGTTGCTTTTCTGAAATCAGCGGATGCTGAGGTTTTTACAGCTGCACATTGGCTTCATGACTCCATGCGTCTCCATTCATGGGTATGAGAACAAGACCGCAAATATTCACTGTAAAGTTTCTGAGAAATAAAATTTCTTGCTACAGAGTTCAAAGGTCTGACTGTTCTGTGTGCTTTTCTCTTCTTACTCTGTCAGTCGCTGGTAAACACGTCCACTTGCTGCCCTCTGGGTTCCACCTCCTCCTTCACTCCTCCCCCACCATAGCACACATCACAGCCACACGCATCCCATTCTTAGTCCACTGATAGTTTTACACAGAGGTTAGAGCACCACACATACAAACACACACACAATTTTGAAAAAAACTTTCACTTCATCTCACTTTAGAAGCTGTTTTATCAACTTGTCTGTGTTGGAAAAATTGAAATGACCTAAATAGAATAACTTATTATTGGATTTCACATCTTATCCTTTTCCTAAAGGCTTTTTATTTCTTGAAAAAAGATACTTATAATTATTTCTTGAATTCGTATCTGTAGTATTACTGCAGCTTTTCCTACAGGAGACTTGAAGGAACTCAGTGAAAGCCCTATTAATCAGATCAAATCCCCCACTGCATTAGCAGGGTTGGTAGTTTGGACCCCTAAAGCTTGGAATGGTGTTCTCACGGGAATATTAGCGCAGCTCTAAGACCCTCCAGTTTTATATAGCCCAAAATAATGAGTAGGATTTACCTACGTAACTCAACAGAGGGCCTCATTCACAACAAACTGTAGTCGTTTACTCAAGGCAGATTGTTCAGCTTCTCAGGTCCTCTCAAAATCTCCAACGTGTCTGTGGCCCAGCACCTGAGGACGCAACATATATGGCTAGTGACTCTATTGCAGGTCTGCAGATCACAGCGTGTCCTGACGTGCCCTGCAGCATATCAACATAACAACACAGAGCTGTCCGCTGTGCCGAGGCCACAGGGGCTGTTTTTGTTATGGGTGATACTCTGTCAGTGCAAGAGAATCGAAACACCTAAAATTTATTTCACATTTTCTCAGTTCAAAAGACATTTCAGTGTTCACAAAAAAATATCCATGGATATTTTTTGTTTTTCTACAGATAAAAACCTGAAAAGTGTGGTGTGCATTTGTATTCAACCTGTCAGAGTCAATAATATACACTGAAGGTGGAGATTAGGTTTATGAATTTAGACTGGGTTGCAGAAATTTTTTTAAATCTGTGACTTAATATCGACATTTACACCACTTAAATTTTACTTCCAACTGTTTTTTTTAAAAGGAAATTCATATTTTCACCAAAATGTAAAAAATTTAAAATACCTATTATTTAAAAAGTTTACACCATCATTTTATTTTAAGGATTTGTTTCAGTCAATTTAATCCTAATAATAAGGTTAAGAAAAATTCCCCAACCCCGGGTGCATAACTACTTCAGAGTACTAAAAAAAAAAACTAATAATTCAACATGTAGAAATTAAAAGAGATTACAAAGATGGAACAACCTTTATCTTTTTTTGACATTTGAAATTGCATGATGAACTGTTGGAGGTCCTTTCTTTTGCTAAAACCAGATATGTCCAGGGGCACTGATTTCATTACATCTTGAGATAAAAAAAAGGAGAAAAAAAAACATATGGTAATTATTTAAATTTTAGATATAAATCCACTTTGTTAAAAAAAAATAATTTCCCCTTTCACCGTGCAGCCTGGAACACTGCATTTACGCCCTTGGTTCTGGCTCATTTTCAACAGAGAAACTGCCTGCTTTGTATTTCTTGTAGAAGTAAACCCAACTGTAGGCTAACCAGCTAAACTGGTGTCTTACATCTACCTCTATTCATCTTCTTTGGCCAGTGAACCGCTGGGCTGGTCTGTATGTCAATTTCGGGGTGTGACGAAAGTACAGGCCAGAACCAAATAAGGCAACATCCCTGAGTTTACGTCAACTGGGGGCTTCGTTTGGATTCACCCGTTTTATGTTTTTTTGAGATTTGCAGAGAAAGGAGGTGTTGATGGGGTTTGAACTTCTCTGTACGTCCATTTCACCCACTGAACTAACGTTATTCATCTATGACAATGTAAACTTCTGAGTGAAGACCTTGATCGTCCAGCACAAAGATAGAGCTATGATGACATATTCATTAAATATGTACATAAACTAAATAAATTGCTAATGTTGACAGAAAAAGCTTGTTTTTTTGTTTTTTTTATCGGTATCTTTATGTGTGTTCATCTTTCCTGTGAGACTCAAAACCCTGACCACATCAACCATCTGCCTCCAGCAACCCTGACTCGACTTTCCAGTGTGAGACTAAACTGGGAATCACCACGGATAGACACCACCCATTTAAATCCCTCAGAATGAATCTTCTCAAACGAGGGAAATCCCCTCTACCCCCTCCTCCCTTGTGAATCTGGCAAAGTCAAAAGGTCAGGTTTAAAAAGAAAGGCACATCCTGGAAGATGGTAAGGATACTACAAAACCCGTTTGTGAGGTAAATCATTTCATCTCTAAATACAGAATTTAAAAGTGGATTTATTTTTGCTCCCTAAAAATTGTGTAAAAAGTATCTGAGAGGTTAAGCCTCAGGCTGACCACTTCTATATACTTAATTTTTTGTGCTAAAGTTGCTAAAAACTGCAGTGAATGCTGACTTCTTTTGCTTCAAAAACCACAAAAACAATCTTGACAGACACAGCAAGCAGCAGAAAATGACTCAAAGTGCTGAGGCGAGGAAGAGGATGAAAATAAAGAGTAGGGAAGGCTGAAGCATGTGGAGCTCACCACAATCTTTTTCTGGCTACTGTTGTTCTTTGCAGTTCACCACACAGTACTCAGCATGACCACAGCTGGCTATAGACCGGTGCAGGACAGAGTACAAGCGAACAGCTGCATGCAGTACCAGTATGCCATCTCTAGGGGTCAGTGTGTTCCTATCCCCCCAAAAAAAAAAAAAGACACTCCACACCGGAGTCAAACTATATTGGGGATTATGCACTTCATTGCATCATCTGCTAAAACTAGTGATAAATCACATCAAGCTATAAAATAATAATAATGAATATCAAAAGAGAAATTATAAAAAAAAAAATTTCATCGAAAATATATGATAAAACATCGATAAACACCCCTTTATTGTATTTGGGTAAAAAAAAAAGTCCTAAGGAGTGCCACCTTGTGGTTCTTGCTGTCTCTCTCTTAACATTTAATTCCAGGTTATTTGGATTTTGTGGGTTTATAATTAAATAGTTAACAGGAACCTACAACTTAAATTAAAAACAGATACACTTTTATAAAATATTTCCAGGCCTGGCATGTTAATGTGGGCTGGATGGGCACTGAAGTGGGCCTGGCGCCTCACAGTTACCATCTTGTAAGAAACCAACTTCCATTTGGGCAGAACTTGTTAGTTTAAAGTACTGACAGGTACTGGAACAATTATATTGTTTTCATGATCCACTTTTTCGCACAGAAACATAATCTACATTGATCACTAATAAGACAAGGTAGACAATCCCAACTGGGATCCAATTTTCATACAATTCCCAGCCCAAACGTTAAAGTTTCTTTAAAAGTTAACCATTGAAGGCCAATCTCCTACTCTGGGCAGAAACTGCTTATTTGCAGCAAACAAATACGTACTTTCTGTGCTTTAATAAATACTCCATCATTTATGATGGATCCCAATTGAGATTGTCTACCTTGTCATATTAGTGATCAATGTAGATTGTGTTTCTTTGAGAAAAAGTGGATCATAATACTTCATCAGATCTGTAAAGCCTTTTTTAAAGAAATAGTTTTTTTATAGTAAAAAACCAATCCGGTTTTTTTTTCCTGATATTTTTTTCTCTTTTTCTTTACAGTCTGGCCTACCAGATCTAATGTTCAACATTTTCTTCTTAGAACATAATAAATATGTTTGAACACAGGCTGTAAATTTTTAAAGCAAATGGAGCATTAGTTGCCTATAGCTGATCTTTTTTTTGGTTATCCCTAAATAACAGTAAAAAATAAAAAATAAACAAGAGAGAGATGTTTTCAGTTTTGTGCATCAAACCAGATCTAAGAAAAAAAAGATATATGATGGTTAAAATTGCCAGCTGACTTAGCTGTGCAATAAGTAATTAAAAAGTAGAATCAAAGTTGAAATGAGCTACGAGTTAGACATCCTCCCAGCACTGATCTCTCTTTGTACCCTATTTTTTTCCACAAACTTTGCTGCTGCCCTCCTCCTCCTGTCCTGGTGGTCCTCAAGCTGCCCATAGAGGTCAACAAAAGACAGACTGGCCAATAAGGAGCTAGTGCACCATAAGGTCAGGGGCCACAGGTCAGTCAGCAGCATGAGGATTGAAAATCAAGATCGACTTACTAACCGGTTATAGTCTTATATAAAAGCAAACTATGATTTGTTTTTAAACTTTTACAAAGGCAAATTAGTGGATTTAAAGGCTTTTAATATTCAAAAAAAGGAGGTAAAACACCAAGTCTGATAAGTTGCGTTTATGCAGCATCATCCAGTGAGAGTGTAATGCTGCTCACTATCCAGCCACCTGCAGAGGCTGAATTCCACCATGTATGTCATCAGCGTATGAAATGGATCCAGCATGGAGGCACAGAGATGAAGAGAGAGCAGACAAAGAGTTAAGACTAATCTGTGATCAAACCTACCACACCCTGGCTCACAAAGGTACTGAACTGCTGGGGGCCACAGGCACGCACAGGCGCGCGCACAGAGCTGGCTTCTATCAGATACAGTGTGCTGTAAACTGACCCCAGAGACAGAGATGGGAGGACATGATGAGGGATGAGGTGTGTTTGGGTTCTCTCTGAAGTAGAGCCCCCCCCCCCCCCCCCCCCCCCCCCCCCCCCAAGGGCTCTGTTTACAGCCTCCCCTATCTTCATCCAGCTCTGAATGGTCTCCCTTTTCTGATGGAAAGCCGTTTAAAAGCAATAACAAAACAATGTTATATCTGTTTTTTTTTTATAAGTTTTCCGGATATTTTTATCAAGTAGTAACAAGATTAATTTGCTAATCTGAAAACAGATGCTAGGCTCCTCTTAGACAAAAACTGCAAAGCAAGAGGACGGAAAATAATTAACATTGCTGTGAAACACGTGATGTGAGGAGGTGCTGTCTTAATAAAGTTGGTCAGGTTTGACAAAAAGGTCTATGGAAGATTTGATTTAGTTTTTAGGTAACCTTAAGACTGATGACGCCATTGGATTTTAAAGGTATAGAAGGCAATCTTTTATTTCCGGGTGGATCATCAAAATAAATGGTCATCCTAATTGCCAATCATTCTGGTGATATGTTTATGTAAGGCCGTCCTTCATGCTCATCGCTTTAGCCATCTTATCCTGCGCATGCACACTTTCAGGCATATATCTGTTATGAGCTGTGGTTTCAGACAGTCATTGAATATCACCTTTCTCACCACGGTTCTTTGAAAATGGCAGAAGGTCATAGAGAAAAAGTGTCTAAGAAGTGTATGAGAAGAAAAGAAAGGCCTCAGTAGAAGATATATCCCAGAATGCTTTGCGCTGAGGACTCTCCTCACAAAGAATTATGGGATTTGCAGTCACAGTCACTAATAACAAAGATGCCGCAGGTATTGTGCGATGGACCAACGGGGAACTGATCATCTGTTCGAACAGTAAGTTGACTGGGTTCACTTTATAGTCCCCGCTCATTATAGTGATTGAGGGATGTAGGGGTTAGAGCGGACGTTGAGGCACAGTAAGCTTGTATGAGCTATAAGAAAAGCAACTTTTAAACAGAGCATGCACGAGAAAAAATGGGCACATTTTGGGCACATTTTTTTTTTAAGTGACAGAAGGGTCTTAAAAATGTAGAGAAAATCCTCCACAATACCTTTATTTAAGAGCTACAGAAATGCACACCATGTTTTTTATATGTTAATTAAAGAGAATGTATATTCTTTTTCTGCCACTTTATAATTGTTATCCAAACATTTTCAGTATTAAATTTAATTATCCAATCTAAAAGGATGTTGTCATTCACATTTGATGTAAATGACAACAAAAATAAAAGTGAAAACTCTGAAAAATCCACTAACAACAATCTCAATCCTAACTAACTGTCTGCATTCGTTTATTCTTACCTTATACTTTTGAAGTCATTGCTGATGTTCTCACCCGAACAGGGTGTTGTAGGCTGAAAGTTGTGTCCTGGAGGCAGTAATGTCTTTCCAGAAAGTAACGTCTGCTCCTGATTTGTTTTTGGTTCCCATGTGTGGTTGCTCTGGTTGATGTTGGTTTCTCCTCTTCTGCGACGGGGCAACGTTCCATGCAGTGAGACTGGCTGGTAGGCTGCAGTGGGTTCAGACAAGCTGCCGGCAAGCCCTGAAGGGTGGCTTCATGAAAAAAACAAGTCATGAAGTAAAACACCAAGTTCAAATATTTCGCTTCTTAAGACTCATTTTAAATTGAGTTAATTAAATGAGGGAAATAAATTAGAATCACCAAGGATTGGAGCCATGGAGATCCATTGAAAATTTGAGCTTTCTGGGTGAGCAGGGGCCATTGCTGGGGCCACCAAGGGAGGTAATGGGTGCTCCAGAGTGAGCAGAACTCCCTCCTAAGGTGTGATGATGTGCATGTAGGGACCTGGGCAGACTGGCAAAACGCCCCTCAGCCATCATCCTTAACTCTGGAAAAAAATAATAATAAAAAAAGTTTTATTGACAAGTAATGCTCTACATGCACAAAGAATTTGCTTTTGTGGTACGGTGATAAAAATGCAGATAATTTAGATTAGTTTTATCACAGAAGACTAACAAAAAACAAAAAGGAAACATGATGAGCTTTCTGGTAATAAAATTTGATTATATTTAACAACTAAAAAGGGCTTGGTTGGTACAGTGGCTAACACACCCAGATACAGTGAAAAGTCAGATGATGTTGTTCTCTTTAACCTGGTTATGAACACTGTCAACATGTTATTATATACTGGTAATTACAAAGGATTTAACTACTATATGTCATATCTAAAAGATGGATATTCTTGTTTTAATTATATCTTGTAACACAAAAAAAACATAAAGTTTATTTTCATACACATTTTGTAAATATGCATGTTCAACATGAGGTAAAGCAGTTGTTTTCAATAAAGGCCTCTAAGGTTTAGGTTAGTTGCACTTTAGGGATTAAATAGACAAAACGATGAATGATACCTAAATAGTTATATATATTTTAAATATTTTATCGTATAATATCTTACCACCCATCTGTATCTAAGTCCAAACTGATGAAAATAGATGAAGAAAAAACAGATGCACTTCACTCCTGACAACTTTATTTTGCACTCATGAAGTAAGCTGTTGTGTGTTGGTGCTGACACCAAAGACAGAAATACACAGTGATGAGGAAGACAGATAGCTCTGCAGGGTTGGGAAAGCACAGGATGGCTTCTTCATATTTTTTCCTACAGTGTGAGGATGACTGGATGGCACACTATGATCTGCTCTGAATCACTCTGCATGCAGCAGTTAGTCACACTGTACCAACCAAAAAAATATTGTCAGAAAAACCCAGAACAAGCTTTGCTTTGCTCTATCCTAATCTCATCAGAACCAAGAAGTCTGGACCTTGAAATTTCAGCTGGTTGTTTTTGCCTTTTAATGAAGCTGATTGGGGTCATAGAAAGTGAGCAAAATGAGGTGCAGTATAGACTCAACAGTAACCAGAAGGGATTTAATTTTGACCAAACATTTGGATCCTCTGAACTAATGTCAGCTTCGTTCGTTAAAACGTACAATGTATGAACATTGTATTCCTTATAAACAATCTTTATTTCAGCTGCTAACAGCTGCAATGGGACAGCCGAGATATCCCTGCAGAGTATAGTGAGAGGAGCTGAGGTCACTGAAGTGTCCCTACTCTGTGCCATATCTGTTTCAGAACCAGTGCAGGAACACGGTTCTGAGTCCTACCAGAGACACCTCACTCTCTGTAAATGAACTTTGAGAACAGCTGTCATCATCAGGCTAAAAATATAACATCAAAGCACAACCACGGTACTGACAACAACACGTATTTCTGTCTTAAACTACTAAAATGCTGATCAGCAGGTAAGACCATTCACTTATTTTATGTTCTTCTATTATTTAAGAACCAAGAGAAGTCAAATTATTTGGTTTTACTAGTAATTTGTCTTGATTTACTTAACCTAGTGTGAGCTAAAAACGGGAACTGATGGAAGGTATTACTATATATAAATATATATATATATATATATATATATATATATATATATATATATATATATATATATATATATATATATATATATATATATATATATATATATATATATATATATATATATATATATATATATATACATATATGTATATATATATATATATATATATATATATATATATATGTATATATATATGTATATATATATATATATGTATATATATATATATATATATATATATATATATATATATATATATGTATATATATATATATATATATATATATATATATATATATATATATATATATATGTATGTATGATACACTTAAAGTATATCAACTAAAGCAATAAATTCTTGTTATTATTGTTTAAATACTGCTAGGTGAGGTTTACCCCTCTGTGTCTAGCTGGAGGTAGAGGAGGTAGGTTTCACAGGCAGTTGCATGCTTAGCTGATGAATCTAAAAACATGGCAACTTTAACCAACTAAAATCAGGTTCAGAGTCACACATTTCACACACACCCTACTCTTGCAAAGAAAATGTAGGAGTCTCCCATCCTAATCATGTTTTTAATTAAGAACTGGTTCTTAAACATTTCATGGAGGGAAATAAAAGTTTAATAATGAAGAAAGGCTTCTGATCAGGTGTGTTTAAAGCTCCGTCTGCTGATGCTTTATCAACATGAAACCTCTATTGCACTTTTGCCCTATGCTGTTTGGCTGAGCAACGTTTCACTGTATCCTGTACAATGACAAAAAACCTTCCTAATTATTTTCTTTTGTTGTGACTTGGTTGCATTTAATGCTATATGAGTCCAAATGTAACAAAAATAAGCTGATTATTAAGGGAGCATTAAGTCCTCTCATGTTTGTGAAGTGTATAGCTTGTGAGGCACTCCAGTTCTAAATAGTAAGGGTTGGATGAAGGGAGCTCAGTTTACTGTTTAGTTGCATCAGGATAATGATACTTTTCTCTCATTGCAACATAATAATTTATTTGTTTTTAAAAGCATGTGGGTTTTTTATATATACTTAGTGATCAACTGAACACCTGGGGATCTTATTTAACAGTGTGAGTTCTGGTAAATGTTGGCTGAATTAGTAAGAAAGTAGGGCAAGCTTTCAGTTACACTTTTGATTTCAAGTATACTACTGTACATGCTGACGAGAGTGAACCTTTGGAAATAGAAAATTTTAGAAACTTTCATATAATTAGGTACTTATAGTCATCTTGTCATATTATTTAGTGCAGATATTCAGTATAGTGCATGAATCTGTATCATTCAGAAAGTAGACATTTCTGACATCACCTAAAAACCCACAGCCTTGGTTATCTCGTGATTACAGCATGTAAATGCTTTGATAAAATCATTGCGATGAGAAGCCTGATAGATATTTTCCAGTAGCATCATATCTTCAAGATGAAATTCAAATGCATCCCATAGTAACATTGGTCAATTTGCCCTTCTAGGACCCTTACTTTAGTTATTTTGTATTTGATCTTATTTAAGGAGAAAAACATGTTATCTGCCATGAGGCTTTCTTACTGACCAAGCTGTGATTTTTATCTGCCCTCTTTAATAACAGTTGGGAGAAAGTCCTTTTCTACAATTTATTAGGAGAAAATGTGCCAAGCCTTTTCCAATGAATGTGTCTGTGCAGTAAAAACTGGTGAAGGGGTAAGGAGACAGTGGCAAATTAGATTTTTGTGTTTTTATCTTTTTTTTAAATAAAGCTTTATATGCTCAATAAAAATCTATTAGTATTGCAGTTTAGTAGCAATTGCATGTGCAACAGGCAAGAAGTACCAGTTCGTTTTAATTTAACAGCAGTCACTTCCACTTTAGGTACTGGTGAATCTAAGTTGTGAATTGGGAGTATTTATCTAGTTGTAAAAATCAGTCTTAAAATAGAGCTTAACAGAATCAAACAGTGGGGGTGACTGAGTCATCAGCACGTATTGATGAATGTCAATGGAAATGCGAATGCAGCTTTGAAGACCAAACAGCTGGCCCGTCCAGGACTCTTCATGCTCACAGAAACAGACAGTAAAAGAATTACTAAGGCATGTGGGATCAGACAGAATGTGGATTCCTCCAAGGGGCAGAATGACTGCAGCACCTATTATATGACCCTAAGGGATTCAGCTGTGTGTGTGGTACTGACCATCTGCCAGACACACAACCTCCCCCTGTAGTGCATAAAAAAGATCAACTCTGACTGAGTTAAAAGACAAACACATAGTGTTAATGTGAATAAATACTTAGCTTTAGAGTAAATTATTCATGCTACTGGAAGTCATTTCAAATTCAATGCAGAGAAATCTAATACAAAATATCTAATGTCTCTGCTCATAATTCACTTATCCCTCAATGTCATTTATTTCACATTCAGATTATTTCAGTCACTCCTCTCTTTCTTAACCCATCCTAGCTCATCCATCTTTCTCTTTCAGTGCCGTGTCCCCCCCTCCACACAGACATCGTCTCCTTATCGTTCTATGTCCTTCACAGCATCAGCTCTTCTTTGCCCCCGTGACTTTTGTTTCTTTCTTTTCTCTGACCTTCTGCTTCTCATGATGGACTTCACTTTAACTCCTCCCATTTCTTCTTCATACTGTCATCCTCTGCCCCCAGCAGCTGTTTGGCTTCCACTTTTATCCCTCTTCACAAACACAAAAAAAGACTAATATTTGCTTCAATTACTTCATTACATTAGAAATAAAATAGCTTATTAGCTCTATCATCCTATTAACCAAAGAATTTCTTATTTCCTGCTACTTTTCAAAGCTTTAAAAGCTTAAAATTAAAGACAAGCCTTATAAAAATGGGTAGAAGTTTTTCTATTAAACCTATAAAAGCAAGAAAGTTTAATTTTGTGCACATAATGTACAAATAGATAGTTTTTTTTATATACACAAATCTTTCCTTGTGGAACTTAAGAGTCATTGGGTATAGATTGGATCTAATGTGAAGGCTTAAATAGCTCAGCACCACAATTTTATATTCTATCAGCTAAACGCTGGTTTCACATGGTGCATTTGACACTAAACCTGGCAATGATAAATCATCAGAGAGAGTTATAGCTCTGCATGTAGAGGATCAGTGAGCAGACCTTCATGATCATTAGAGGTGACCCTGTAGAAAGGCTGACATAAGCTTTCTGTTAGAGTTTTATTCAAACCCTTTGCTTCTGCAGCAGCTGATATCTTATTTTTAGAAAGACATCTAATTTTAGTCCATTAATAGTTTTTCTAAATAAGCGTTTAATCCTGCAAGGTCAGGCATGTACATTACCATTGCTGCCTCATCGCTGATTTGCTTTGACTCACCTGGTATTCTTTGCTGCAGGTAAGTGGTGATGTGTTTTCCTATTTAGTCATTATTTGATGGATTCATTAGTTAATAGAAATGAAGATGTGTGACATTAGAATGTGGAAATAC